TCAATTATTTGCTTTTTTTTCGTTGCCTAAAATAAATATAAATAATTGGTACATTGTATTGAAGAAATACAAATAATCACTTCTTAATATTCATAATATCAAATTGTTGATAAATCTATTAATTGGTTTTTTATTACAAATATCATTATAAGTATTTACATTTTTTTATTAAATACAAAAATCATAGACTTTTAAGAGTAATATTTCTAATACTCTACCTCTTATTAAATTTAATAAAAATAATGTTTAAAATAATTTATTATGATTTACATTTTGTTCTATGTAATTTTAAATTTACTTAATATTTTATTATGTCTTATAATAATAGAATTTGATAACTAATTTTAATGAAATTCAATACCAAACTTATTTACTATCATTTTCGTATAATATAATTTATTGTTAACTATTTGTTTGTTGAATTAATTATAATAATCATCCACATATTTTCAAAAATAAAAATCTTATTTGAGTAAAAGAAAGATAATACAAATATTTTGAAAATATAGTTGAATATTTAATGTAGTAAATTCACGTTTATTTCAATGAAACAATGAAATATTTTTTAATTTCTAATATGATTTTATTCAAAGGAAACCAAATTATCTAATACATATAAGAAACCATTTAGTTAGTATTTAGGCATAAAAATGAGAATTTACATCACCAGTAATAAAATAAATAAAGTTTTTAGACATATTATTTTTAAATTGGGTTATTTAGAGTAGTGCAAAAATAACAAAGTTCAAAGATAAAAATACCATAAAATATTTCTGATTAAATGAAGAATGAATTATTTAAATTTCTGATCTAAAATATAAGAGGCATTAACACTATCTGAACTGGTGCTTTCTCCAGTAATTTGTTCTTGGTTATCACTAACATTTAGTTGTGTATTTATAATTGGTGATTGTTGTTTCTTTGGTTGAGCATCAGAAATACCTTCAAAATGCATTGAAGACGATGCTTTATCAGAACTATCACTTGTAGTAATATCTATTCCGTTGAAAATTGGTCTAACTTCAATAAATTCATCTTTATTAGTTGAAGGAATTTGTAATTGTGGAGTTGTTTGGTTTGGCTCTTTTTCTATGTGTTTTTCTGTAACAATAGTTGTAATGTGTTTTTGTTCAGTAGATTCTTCTGTTGTTGATTCAGACTTTCCTTCTTGTTGAAGGTGTTTGTTTTGAAGTCTTTCCATTAATTTATATATTTCTTGTATCATAAAGTCTGCATCTTCTTCACCAAATTTAACATGACATTCAATATTTCCATTTCCAATAGAAATTAAAGCATTCCCAGAAAGTCTCATTTCTCTTTTTGCTTCTGAAGTAATAAGAGCAACATCATCCTTCTTTTCTATAACTAAAGCCTCCTTTTGGTTCTTAGAAATAGCCATTATTTTCTCAGTAAATTCTTCCTCATTTTTTTCTATTTCAAAATGTGACCTTCCCAATCTTGAGACTTTATCAATTGCCTGATACCTTTCTTCTGGTTGTACTGATAAACCATCAATAGAGACATTAAGTCCAAGTTCTACAGAAGGTAATTCTTCAATAAGTAATTGTCTATAATTCACTGTTTGATTATTTTCAAAATGAAGATTTGTTAAAGAATACATTTTATTGAAAATCCCTCTCATCTCATCATTAAAGTAAATTTCATTATTGCTGAGATTTAATTCTCGAAGATTAAAAAATTTAGAAATTTCTTTGATTTCTGTCAATTGGTTGAATGAAAGATCCAGTAAACTAATTGACCCTGGTAATAGAACAGAAATACGTTGGATATAATTATTTGCAAGAATTAATTCACTTAAAGATAAGTTATTTAATTTTTTTTTAAATTAATAGAAACAAACTCAAAAGGACGTTCATCAATATTTTCTAATACTTTGATACAGTTATGCTGAAGGTCTAATTTCTTAAGAACAGGAAATTTTGTTTTTGTCTATTTTATTATAAACAAAAATTTTTTTATATATAACACAAAAATAACAAACGAAAACAAATGGGGAGATTTGACGAATAGATGCTTTTTGAATGACTAATTGAGTTAAGAAGGGCCACTCAGTAGTAAAAGAATCTAACCTAAAAGGACAATTTTCAACTTTAAGACTAACAAGATGATGACTAATTTGATCAGTTAAAACAAATGTTGAAGGAATATCTGAAAGGACTAATTCATTGATACTTGATGTGAGAATAAATGAGAGTGGATTAACACTATTTCTATGACGTTTGTTATAGAGAGACTTTATTTGAACTTTTTTTAAATATTTGAATACTTCATCTCGTTCGGCTTTAATAGTTTCATTCTCTGAATAAACATCAAAAGAAATACCACTCAAGAACATTGCTAAAGGTAGAGACATTTTAACCATTCCTTTATTCATTGTAATTTCTCGAAGATATTTATCAAAGTATTTAAATAAGGCATTTCTAAAATATTCAATTGGTCGTTTGATTTCTTCCATTTCCTTTCAAAGTTTTTTTTTATTTAAAGATCCATCTAAATATTTGTAAGAAATAATAAAAGAAAAGAATAAAAAAAAAAAAGAAGAGAAATAAAGAAGTGAATAAAGAATAATTGAAAAGTATTTACGAAGGGATTAACAAAGATTTTAATGTATCTATTTGCTGTTTTGTCCATTCCCATGTATCATCAATTATTGAAATAAGTAAATTTTTTTGTTCCAAAGTCCAAGAAGAACAAATTCTATAATAATAAGACGTTTTTTATATTAATTAGAAACAAATGAATTAAAGAATAAAAACAAACGATTTAAATAATAACTCTATATGAGAAGGGAATGAAGACCATAATGGTAGTTTTAAATCAGATTCAAATTCACAATAAAGATGTAAAAATGTTAATAATTGATAAATATCAAATTGTTTACTCAAATAAACAATTATAACATTAAATAATTCAGTATTTGAAAATAACTCCCAACATGCCATTGATATTAATAAACACTTTGTTAATTCACTCCATTCTAATTTAAATTGTTTATATATTTTCATATAAATTTCAAGTAATCTAAGTATATTTTCTTCATTTGTTCCTAATACAAATTGAATTTCAGTTGAAGAATTATCTCTTCCTCCAAATAATGAACCAAAATCTTCTAAATCTTCTTCACAAAATTGTTGATATCCAAATTCTATAATTTGATCATCATTCCATTGATAAATTATTTCTTTTATAATTGAATAAAAATATTGTTCTGTTACTAATTTTCCTAATTCTTTAAATAATGATTGTAATTCTTTTCCATTAATTTTACTTTTAATATTTATTTTATTTTTTATTTCTTCCCAAGGAGGAATTTTATTTTCTTCAGGTTCTTTTTGAGTTAGTTTTAATTTTTCAATTTCTTCTTTCTTTTTTTCACAACCTAAATTAGATTTAAATAATTTAAATGCCATTTCAATAAATGAAATACTCTCATCAGCTAATATCATAATTTCACCTGAAACTCCTTTAAATCTAACAATACTTTTTTTTTCTTTTTGTTCTATTTCTGTTGTCATTGTAGTATCACTACTCATTATAAATACTTCTTTAGGAACTTCTTTTCCATAATTCTTTTCAAAGAAAAACAATTTATCATCTTTCCATACAACATATCTCTTTTTCCATTTTTTAACAAATACTACTACATTTCCATCCATAAGAAATGGTCGTTGTATTTGAGCTAAAGTAAGAGTTTTTGATTCTTCATTAATTCCTTCACTCATTATTGTTATAAGTTCTTTTTCTTATTATTTTTTTATTTTCATTTTTTATTTTTCTTTAAAAATTAATTTATGTAAGACTTTGAATCATTTCAATTATTTATTTCTTTAAAGACATTAAGAGTAGAATTAAGTAAATGAACTATTTGTGTTGATGCTGTAGCCAATTTATCTATATCATTAACTGTATATCCCTTTAAACGAGATTCAAATTCTCTTAACTCTTTTTTATTTTGTTCAAATTGAACATTTTTAGTTTCAAATGGAGAAAGTTGAACATTAATAGCATTTAATAATCTTAAATACTCTTGAAGATCATAAATTTTCATAAAATCAAGGTTAATAATTGAAAGAATATTTATTGTAACTTCAATAATTAACCTTCCATTTGAAATGATTTTATGTTGAATAATAGTTGGTTTACCTGTAGTTACTCGTTGATATCCTAAACCGCGTTCTAATTCAAATAAATTATACATTTCATTGATACTGTTAAAATGACATAATGGATAAATACGAATAAATCTTTCAAATTCTTGACTACACAACTGGACATATTTTTCATAATCAATTGTGCTATTAACAAACATACGTTCAATAAAATCAATACTAATCAATGTATTATAAAGAATTTCTTTGTTCTTCATTAACTGTTTATTTTCTTTATTACTTCTAAAGTAATTAATATCTTGTTGTAGTCTTTTGTATAATGATTACTTTTAACTTTAAATTAAAACAAACTTCATGTAAATAAATAAACACTTTTAAGTTCTTTTTCTTAATGAAGTTTTATTAACTAAAAATGACAAAAATAAAAACAAATTGATAAATTTGTTGGAGTGATTTTATTTTCAATCCTCATTCTTTAATTTTTTTTTTTGCTTTTGTTAGAAAAGAAGAAGAAGCAGAAAGAAACACAAAAAATAGAATTACAAAGAAAAATTATAATTTTTGGGCGTTTGAAGGATTAACTACAAGTGTAACATATTCTTCATCAATAGAGGAATAAAATATAATAATTTTTGGAGAACTAATAGTAAAAGCTATTGAAGTAATAAAAGAGTTAACCATTTTAACTTTTTCAGTTATTTTATTAAATGTCATTTTATCGAAATGTTTATCTTTTTGAATTTCATTTAAAGTAGTTCTAATTCCATTTTCCATAATCATTTTAATATAATCTGATTGTAAAGGAATAACAGGAATAAATTTATTTTTAATAATAATTTTTTCTTTATTTTCTTGGATAATTTCTTTATCAAATTCTGCAATTCTTAAAGAAATTTGATTTTTATCATTTTTATGATGTTGAAATGTTTTTAAAAATTCAATAACATCAAGAATATTCATATTATCTCGAGCTATACAAATTTTATTCTTTTCATATATTTGAATTGATAATTGAATAGAACCAAATTCTATTTCATCAAATGTAACAATACAATTTTGTTCATTTACTTTAACTTTTACTAATTGAATTGCATTTAATTCTGATTCAATTTTATCAACAACTTTAAATCCACTTCGTTCAAAATATAATCCAATCATTTCTTTTAAAATATTATTTGATGTTTCAATTATTACTTTTACCTTGTCTTTTTGTTGTTGTTTTAAATATTCTTCAACTAAATATGGCTCACAACACATAGCCATTACTGAAACATTAAATAAATATCCAACACCTGCTTCTCTTGAATCAACTCCAATTCTTCTTAAAGAACCACCAGTAATAACATTAATATCATTAACATTAACTTCAAATGTAATAACAGATGGATCTTGATCATTAAATGTATGAATATTAGAACTATAATATAATATAGAATCATCAAATAATTCATTATACATATTTATTTGTTGAATAAAATTATCTAAAACTATTTGAATTGATGAATCATTTGAAAATACTTTATTCTTCTTTAATAATTTTAAAGATCTTAATGTATTTTTCATTGTATTTTCTCCATTAAATAATTTATTTTGTTCTATCTTTGGTAGTCTTACAATAATATCATTAATTTGTGAATTAGAAATTATTATTTTATATTTTATATTACAACACTTTTTCATTATTTCATTAACTTCTTGTAAAACATCACACATATCAAATATAATTGATTCATCACTACTTGGTTTAATAAGCATAGTTGAAGCAAAATTAATTACATCATTACTTCCTAATTCATATAATGGAATTTGAATATGTAATGGTGTATTTGTTGTACTTATTTTCTTTCTATTTATCATAATTACTTTCATTAAGTCAACAAAATTATTTAAAATAACAAGTAATTCATTGTCTGAATTATTCATCATTGGACTTGTTACTGTTTCATCGGCAATCCATTTAAAAGGAATAATTGGATAAAAGAAACAATTAATGGCTCCAATTTTTTTATTTATTTCTCTTACTTGGTCTTCAACAAATTTAATAGATTGAATATATTGTTCTCTAAATACACAATTATTATTAATTTGACTTGTAGCTTTATTAACAATACTTTGAAATATTGAGTTATGGTTTTGTAATAATGGTTTAATATATTCTAATTTCCTTTGAGTCTCTTCCATTCCACTAATTTTTTCAAGTATTTGATTTGCATCTGGACGTTTTTTTGGATCAGACTCAGTCATATTTAAAATTAATTGACTTAACTGAGGAAAATATTTACTAACAGTTTCATTAATTTGTCTTTTTTTAATTAATTCAATTCCAAGAATAAATTCTGATCTTGTAACACAACTCATACACATTTCAAGAAGAATAATTCCAAGACTATAGATATCAATTGAAGTATCATAATCTCCACTTGAAACTTCTGGTGCAGTATATCCTGGTGTTCCAACAAATTTACATTTATTTCTATTTTTTGCCATTGTAGCATATCCAAAATCTCCTATTTTTAATATGTCACCATCTCTAAATATATTAGCAGGTTTAAGATCTCCATGAATAATATTTTTTGAATGAATATATTGAATCCCTGTAATAATTTGTTTAAAATAAAAATTTATCTTTTCATTAGCATTTTTCTTAGAATAATGAAGTTCTTGTGATTCAATAATTCTACTTAAATTACTTCCACTACAATATTCCATTTGAATTACTACTACTTTTACTCGTTCATTTGATGTTTCATTTAATTGTAAATTTGTTTTATCAATACTAATTTCTTTAATTTCTTTTTCTTCTATTTCTTTATCTGTAATTTCTCCACTTAATTTAATTGGTTCTTCTTTATTTGTTTCAAATTCAGATATTTCAGAATAACTTTCATCATTATCACTCACAGTAACATATTCATAATCATCATCATCTTCTTCTTCATTACTTCCAAACCCATTACTTTTTTGATTTATTTCATTGATACTATTTGAATTTTCTTTATCTAAATCTTCATCAAATCCCCATTGAATATCATTATTAATATTATCACTATCTTCTTCAATATCCCATTGTTGTTCTTGAAAATCATCTTCATCAAAATCATCATCATCATTAAATGGAATTATTCCAATCTTAAAATCTCCTTGTGGTTTTCTTGAAGAAACTTCATTTAGTCTACTTGAAAATGACTGTAAATGTTCATCTTGTTTATTACTAAATGTTAAATAATCTTCACTATTACTTTCTGAATCACTTTCAATATTTTTATAATATGTATTATACTCTTCAATTCCCATAGTTTCGATCCATGCATCTAAATATCTCACAACATTCTTATGATTAATTGAGGCTAATACAATTACTTCATCTCTAATTGTTTCAATATCTTTATCTGTCATTCCAAACATCATTTTTAAGACATATACTTTAGAATCATCTTTTCTTCGTGCAACAAATATTTTCCCAAATGCTCCTTTATCTAATTGTCTAACTTGAACAAAGTCCTTATTCAAGAAATCTGGATAATGTTTATTTATTTCATTTCCATCACTCATTGTTATAACAAAAAATTCCTTTTTTTTTTTAAGATTTTTAAGTTTTTTTATATTCATAAAAAAAAATTATTTGATTTAAAAAAAATGTTATTAAATAAAAAGAAAAAATCATTAAAAATATTAAATTACATTACGAAGTTCTTTGAAAAGAAAAGAAATAAGACAAATGGACTAATCAAAGTAGTATAAAAAGAACTTTAAAACCTTTATTGTACATTCATAATAATATGATAGAAAATACATCAAAAGATACTTGCAACTGCAATGAAAACCAACAACAACAAGAAACTATTAATGAAATTGATCAATCAACAGTTATAGATTATTTATCTCTTGAGTATAATATGAATAAAAGATTATTAGGAAGTTCAATAAGAAGTGGATTAAGAGCATCAAAAGAAATTGTTAAACCAATTGATGAAGGTTTAAATAAAAAAATAAATATTGTTTTTTTAGATAAAGTAACATTTGTTCTTGGAGTAGCACTATTAGTTCTTTCAGAATATGTTTTTATGGTTCGTGTAGAATTAATGCCAGTATTTTATGCTTTTATTGTAATTCCATTAGTAACAGCAAGATATTTAGTTTATAGAATGAATAAATGGCATTATTTTTTGTTAGACTTCTGTTATTATACTAATTTCTTATTATTAGTAACAACAATTCTCATCTTTGGATTTAAAATTATTTCACCAATGTATGAAATTTTATTTGTTTTAACAAATGGTCCATTGTTAATGGCTATTCCAGTTTGGACTAATTCATTAGTCTTTCATGACTTAACTAAATTAACTTCAATATCTATTCATTTCCTTCCTGCTATGGTAACATATTCTATTAGATGGGGAAATATTGTTGAAATTCCTCAATCACTTTCATTTACAAATGGATTTATTCTTCCAATGATTGCTTATTCAATATGGCAAACCTCTTATCTAATTATTACTGAAGTATTTAAACATGACTTAATTTATCAAGAAGGTTATATGACAAGTTTTAGATGGTTAACACAAGAAAAACCTCATAAACTATATTACTTTATTACTCAAACATTAGGAATGAAACAATCAGTATTATTCCTTATGGTATTAACCCAATTTATTTATACTGTTATTACTATTCTTCCAACATTTTTATATTATAAATACAAATCACTTCATATAGTGTGGATGTTATTCTGTTTCTTTTGGGCTGTTTGGAATGGTGCTAATTTCTATTTTGAAATCTTTTTAAAACGATATAATCAATATTTAGACTCTATTGATAAAGAGAATAACTCTTCGAAGAATGAAATTCATCATCACACTAATCAAATTCCTCAAAATAAAAATGAAATTATTATTAATCCAAATGAACAAAAAGAAGAATTACTTAATGATGAACAAAAAATTAAAAATGATTAAAAAATAATATGATAATATGAATTTAATAATGTTTAAGATAATTTTGAAATATCAATTAAATTTTTTTAAAAATAAATATATTTTTAATACTTAAATAATATAATTTTTGTGTTTCTTATTGGAGTTTTTATTATCAGTCTATATTTATTCATATTATTCTTATTCACATATTTGATGATCATTCTTTTACAATTTTGATTGTACTTTTTCTTGCTTTTGATGTTATTCTTCTGTATGTAACTAAACAGTTTTCTCTTGTTTGCTTTTATTTACAAGACTTAATAATATTTTCAACAATAATGAATGTTTATTATTTGATTTATTTCTTTCCTTATAAAAATAGAATCTTTTTATAAAAAAACCTAACAGAAAAAAGAATGATTTATTCTGTAGGTTCAACAATATTTCTCCATGGCTTTACATCAGGATTATGTTTTTCTTTCCAGGAGTTATATTTTGTTGCAGCAACTTTAATTGAATCCATGGTTTTTGGAAGAACATTTTTAGCTTGAGAATTGACAAGGAAAGAAGGAAGAGAGCCTCCACAATTATTATTAGCAATACAAGTAACTTTAGACCCATTTTCAGTTTTCTGAATATAATATCCACTCATAGAGAATGAAGCTCTTACAAATTTAGGATTTGGAGGGAATTTGTCATGAACAACAGAGAAATTATATAAAATATAATCATCTCCTACTTTGCGTGTTGATTGTCTAAAGACATAATCTCTATTAGAAACTACTGGCATCTTAAATTGGTAATAAATTAATACATTAGATTCATTTAATGTTTCAAAGGTTTCTCTTTTAAGTAAATTACTATCCCAGTTACCACGATAGTCAGGATCAACCAATGTATCAAATACAGTTTCTGGAGTAATTCCTACAAAGTCAATTGAAGTTAGTCTAAGAATTAATGTATCACTTCCACCATCAATCATCCATTCTTGAATTTTATCAGTTTTCATAACTTCATTCCACTTATCTGAAGTAGTACACATTTTAACAAATTCTTCAAATTCAGCTTTAGTTGCAGGTTTAATAGAAGTTTGTGACATATTCTTTGTAGATAATAAGTTCTTGTTTTAATTTTTGTTAGTTTTAAATTAGTACTATAAAATATATTAATTTTTGTTATATTTTATAGTTTTAACATCTTAAAAGTTCATAAAAATTTTAACCAACAAACAAAAGAGGAATTGAAATTTAATTAAAAAATGATGAACTTATTTAAAGTAATTGCATAATTTCTTTTTTCATTGGTGTTGAATTCGTAAGGGTAGTGGCTCGTTTTCTTCTGTCTTTAGTAGGTGTATTTGTTGTATGATTATTCATATTAAATTCACTAAACGTTGGTTTAGATTCATTGAATTTATCAAAT